AATACCATAACATATTTCTACTGTTTAATATTATAACTGTAGGGACCCTGCCCTATACAAATGTAATGGACTAAATTAAGTGCTTATGTACTGAAGGCAGCCTGCGCTCTTACTGAGAGTTCTGTAGGTAGGCTCCCTAGGACAGCCGAGGCTCTCATGCACATCTCTGGATTGAGAGGGGTCTCAGGTGAGTATTGGGGGGGGGGGGGCTGCTACACACAGAAGGTTTTTTACCTTCATGCATAGAATGCATGGAGGTAAAAAAAAAACCTTCAGTCTTTACAAACACTTTAAGTTCAGTTTTCAGGAGGGTGTTGCTATGAGCAGCCGCGCTGCCACTGCGTTTGGCAGAGTCCCTGCTCAAGAGGGTGGCAGAGCAAGGAATGGAGCAGCAATCTAACATTAGATGTAAACACAGTGATTGCTGCTTATCTGTGGTGATAGGGGGACCCCTAACTTGTCCTCTGCATTGAGCTTCCTGTGGTGATTTTGGGGGAGCCTGTGTGTGACTGGTTACAGAGCTCTCCCAAAATTTGGCCAGCCATATTGAAACCAGAGAGGCTATATATAGTTTCTGCCGGGTCATTTTGGCATGCTCTGCAGTGCAGGAGTGCAGTAAGTACTTCTTACACTGGTGATCAGTGGGAAGAATGTCCCTTAAGTTGGTGGTTAGTGGGAAGGCTGCCCTTTACATTGATTGTCAGTGGGAATAATGCTTCCTACATTGATGATCAGTTGGAAGCATGTCCCTTACTGTGGTCAGGTGGGAAGAATGCCCCTTACATAGGTTGCCAGTGAGAAGAGAAGAATGTTCCTTAAATTGGTGATTAGTGAGAAGAATGCCCTTACATTGGTGATCAGTGGGAAGAATGCTCCTTACATTGGTGATCAGTGGGAAGAATCCTTACATTGGTGATCAGTGGGAAGAATGCTCCTTACATTGGTGATCAGTGGGAAGAATGTTCCTTACATTGGTGATCAGTGGGAAGAATGTCCCTTACATTGGTAATCAGTGGGCCCTTACATTGGTGATCAGTGGGAAGAATGTCCTTTACATTGGAGATCAGTGGGAAGAATGTCCCTTACATTGGTGATCAGTGGGAATGCTCCTTACATTGGTGATCAGTGGGAAGAATGTGATCGCCTTACATTGGTGATCAGTGGGAAGAAACATTGGTGATCAGTGGGAAGAATGCCCTTACATTGGTGATCAGTGGGAAGAATGCCCCTTACATTGGTGATCAGTGGGAAGAATGCCCCTTACATTGGTGATCAGTGGGAAGAATGTTCCTTACATTGGTGATCAGTGGGAAGAATGTCCCTTACATTGGTGGTCAGTGGGATGAATGTTCCTTACATTGGTGATCAGTGCGAAGAATGCCCCTTTCATTGGTGATCAGTGAGAAGAATGCTCCTTACATTGGTGATCAGTGAGAAGAATGTCCCTTACATTGGTGGTCAGTGGGAAGACTGCTCATTAAATTGGTGATCAGTAGGAAAAATGCCCCTTACATTGGTGGTCGGCAGGAAGAATGCCTTATATCTGGTCTGTTGGAAAATTGCCCCTTACATTCATGGTCAGTGGGAAGAATGTCCTTTACATTGATGGCCAGTGGGAGGAATGCCCCTTACATTGAAGATCAGTGTGAAAAACTCCTCTTACATTGGTGGTCAGTGGGAAGAATTTCCTAGCTAGCTAAACAGATCATTGGTGACAGTGCTTATTTAGCGCACTGTCTTAAACAAGGACTACTAACTATATTTAGTTGTGCTGGGTGGTAGTCAGCCAAAACTGATTTGTAGTGAGTTTCCTCACTTGGTCTTTCCCTAAACTCAGTATAGCGGCGGTTTCTCACTACTGCCAGTAGGTGTCACTGGTACCACTGGCAATAGTATGAGATTACACAGCAAGACCGAGTTATGAATATTTATGTTTCCTCTAGCAAAGAGAGTAGGAGGTTCATGACTACTGGTGCATAATGGGAGAGGATATAAATATTTGGGCAGGCTAAAAACTTGAGGAAGTGCTGCTGGATTGATCTGATCTGTTACCCGATCTGGTGTGCTTTGGATGTGGAAATATTCCTGAAGTGTCAATGAGGTAAGCTGTGCCAAGATCAAGACTCAGGAGGAGGATCTTGCTAGAGAAAGCCAGGATGAAGGCTGGTTTCTTGCAAGGTCCTTTTAGAATGCTTGGAAACCTAGGAGAGAGAAGTCTATGAATCAGCTAGGGTACTGCCCACAGTGTTTCCAGGTTGGCTTAAACGTTCTGACACTGTGAAGCTGGGTATAAATGTAGAGAAGTCTGTAAGTGGGTATCTGGGATCCCTCACCCTACCATCCTTGTGGTGTGATGACCAATAAAACATCTAAAAAAAATGGAAAGTGACTGGCACTCAATGTTCTTTCAATCCCCCATGTTAGAAATGGACTCTGGGTGTGAAATGATGGTGCACCCCATCTCTGAAGGTGGCACCATGTCTCCTGGAGTTAAGTGTGTGCTACACTTTTACTTTGAGAGACACAAATTGCCCATTCCTCAAGGAACCCCTTGAAACCTCTTTAGGAACCCTAGGGTTCAACAGATCCCTGCTTGAGAAAGCTGTGATCTAAGGCCTAAGGTAAACTGCCTATCATTTTATTTGTGAAGCAGGAAAGGGATAACAGATACAGTATATAACTGCTGGGTTTGGTTTCCCACAGTAAATACATGCTTATAAATAGAATCTTTCTATGTTATTTCGCAATGTGAGTATAAATGTAAATGTGTGTAGTACTCTATTATTTTATGAAAGTCTGTGACATTGTCTGTTTATGTGAGTGGTGAATGTGTCCATAGAAAATGTTCATTTAATCAAACATAAGAGGGAGGAAGGAAACCAGGGGCAAAGGCAAGTGAGCATTGAGCATTCTTTAGGATTGGTAGAAGCTTTAAGAGGGGTACCTCAAAGGGGGGGGGGGTTACTCCTTCCAAAGCATTGGGATTTTCATTACCCCTGGTGCCCAGGAGCTACTGGCAGCATGGCTTAGGTGCCACCAATGGCTTCCCCTGAAGGACAGGTAGGGGGAAACTTCTTATCTGGGGAACTGGTTTTCTCCCTCACTCCAAGAAATGTTGGTAGGTGTTACCTAGTCAAGGTGATTGCTGGCTACGCATGCACACTAGTACCACCTGACATCTGTAAAACCTTATTTGCATGACGTACAAAGCATAACCTTTATGCAAGCTGTGGGTCTATCATTGACAAATCCCATGACATATAAAATGTGTTTCAGAGAAAGCAACAGTGCCACCTCCAGGTTAAGGAATGGCAGACTAAAAACATCTTTTTTGAAAATGTTTTTCTTTTTTTTTTATATATATATATATATATATATATATATATATACACAATATATATATATACACAACATTGTGCTTGGTTGCATCTCTGAGTGATGAACTACACAGCAGAGGGGCATGCAATATTAATGATGATCAGTAGGTGGTGCTTCAGCATCATTATTATCTGTTCTGCACTATTTACCTAAACAAATCCAAACCCTTTGGGGGTTATTATGATGTCAAATACCACATTATGACCTCACATTTTAGGAGAGAAGCAAAGATGACCAATCATGCATTTAATTGCAGAAACATAAGAATGTATACAGGTTCTGGGGTTGATTAAATAAAGGTAAAGAAAATGGCTGAATCTAATTAGGCGTAAAACACCTATAATGTTCAGTAAAATATTAAATCTATAATGTTTACAAAGATCAATTGCAAATAACTATTTATAATTAAAGAGATGAACCCGCAACCTTAGATATTATAGAGATTACCAATGACTAAGAAAATTGTAGGCTTCTGGTGAAAAAGTGGATGACTGGTGTGTGTGCCTGTGTGTGTGTATATATATAAAGTTTTAATTTTTTTAAAGAGAGAGTGAGTGAAAGAGAGTTGTGTGTGTGTGTATATATATATATATATATATATATATATATATATATATATATATATACACACACACTGTATATACACTATGTTGCCAAAAGTATTGGCCTGCCTGCCTTTACACGCACATGAACTTTAATGGACATCCCAGTCTTAGTCCGTAGGGTTCAATATTGAGTTGGCCCACCCTCTGCAGCTATAACAGCTTCAACTCTTCTGGGAAGGCGTCCACAAGGTTTAGGAGGGTGTCTATGGGAAGGTTGGACCATTCTTCCAGAAGCACATTTGTAAGGTCAGGCACTGATGTCGGCTGAGAAGGCCTGGATCGCAGTCTCTGCTCTAAGTCATCCCAAAAGTGTTCTATCGGGTTGAGGTCAGGACTCTGTGCAGGCCAGTCAAGTTCCTCCACCCCAAACTCGCTCATCCATGTCTTTATGGACCTTGCTTTGTACACTGGTATGCAGTCATGTTGGAACAGGAAGGGGCCATCCTCAAACTGTTCCTACAAAGTTGGCAGTATGAAATTGATGCCTTAAGGCTTCCCTTCACTGGAACTAAGGGGCCAAGCCCAACCTCTGAAAAACAACCCCACACCATAACCCCCCCTCCACCAAACTTTACACTTGGCACAATGCAGCCAGGCAAGTACCGTTCTTCTGGCAACCGCCAAACCCAGACACATCCATTGGATTGCCAGACAGATAAGCTTGATTGGTCACTCCAGAGAACACTGGCAATGTGCTTTACACCACAGCATCCAACGCATTGCATTGCACTTGGTGATGTAAGGCTTGGATGCAGCTGCTCGGCCATGGAAACCCATTCCATGAAGTTCTCTATGCACTGTAGTTGTGCTAATCTGAAGGTCACACCAAGTTTGGAGGTCTTTAGCTATTGACTCTGCAGGCCGTTGGCGACTTCTGCGCACTGTGAGCTTCAGCATGCGCTGACCCCGCTCTGTCATTTTACGTGGCCTACCACTTGGTGGCTGAGTTGCTGTTGTTCCCACTTTGTTATAATACCACTAACAGTTGAGCGCGGAACAGGGGCAGACTGACAACTCATGGGGCCCCCAGGCAATAGGGGATCATGGGGCCCTTGCATCCTCACCCACACTCAAACCACACCCAAAAAAGCCTATGAAAGATACTAGGGGCATCTCATGGGGCCCCCTACTGTCCCTGGGTCCTCGGGCAGTGCCCGAGTGCCCAAATGGTCAGTCCGCCCCTGGCGTGGAATATTTAGTAGCAAGGAAATGTCCGGATGGACTTATTGCACCCTATCACGGGGCCACACTTGAATTCTCTGAGCTCCTGAGAGCGAACCATTCTTTCAAAAATGTTTGTAGAAGCAGTCTGCATGCCTAGGTGCTTGATTTTATACACCTGTGGCCATGGAGGTGATTGGAACACCTGAATCCAATGATCTGGAGAGGTATCCCAATACTTTTGGCAATATAGTGTATATATATTTATATTATTATTACACAAGACTTATATAGCGCCAACAGTTTGCTCAGCGCTGTACAATATATCGGGAGACAATACAGCAACAATACTGTTCAATTCAAGAGGGTTAGGAGGGCCCTGCTCCTTGGAGCTTACAATCTAAGAGTATATATATATATATATATATATATATATATATTGAGAGAGAGCTCATATTATTATTATTATTGTATGTGTGCACAAGGTGTCCAGCACTTACCGTAATTGTAAAATGAAAAAAAAAAGATCAAATAAAACGAACTAAATAAATAAAATCAATGAGTATGTGAGCAGATTTGTGTATTGTACGTGCAACTTGTGGACATACATATTACATACCTCAAAACATTGCCAGAATTCATTTGTGCCCTATAAACAAACCATATAACAAAAAAATGGAAAGAATATAGACTTCTCTGAAAAAAAAAAATCCACTTCCACTTTCACTTATTTAATTAAAGTCCTCCTGAGCTCTCAATATAATTCCTATTTGCCGTGTTGGAAAACACCTCCGGGCACCTCTTATAGAAAGGTTCACTCACCCGACCTCGTTTAACCCCTTCTTTGATAAGTAAGGTCAAAAAGATATTTTTAAATCTTCACCAGGGATCCAATTCCATCTTCTGCTTTTTCCACCTCCAGCGAATTGTCATGCACCACTTATTGAACCAAAATCACTTTCTGTTAAATGCAATTCCAATTGGTCATTCACAAGTTTAGTTACATACATTATATTATATACATTATATAATCGGTATATATCTACCGATATATAGAGAATAATCATTTATATCCCTCAGAAAACTCCACCACCAGGAGCGGACATTTGGGTGGCATGGGGACTTTATTAGACCCTCCTCTATGCATTTCATTCGATTTTCAGGAGAGAATATACGAGGAGACCTTTCATGGTTTTGAGTTCAGTTATTCCAATAAAGGGTACTGTTAAGTCTACAGCATGGAAAGACATTTTAAACAATTGTGGGCTTTCAACTTTGTAACAGTTTGGTGAAGGTCCTTTTCTGTTCCAGCATGACTGTACTCTTGTGTACACAACCAGCTCCATAAAGACATGGTTTGATGAGTTTGGTGTGGAGGAACTCAAGTGTCTAGCACAGAGTCCTGACCTCAACTCTACTGAACACCTTTGGGATGAATTAGAACAGTGTTTCTCAACCTTTTTTCAGTCAAGGCACCATCCAAAATTATAGACAGTTTCAAGGCACCCTTTAAAATTATGGACAGTCTCGAGGCACCCCATTCTAAAATGTAAAAAAATATTCTAATAGTTTTTATATAACGCAACAACATCCACACACGTAGGACACTCAACATTGGAGGTGATTTACTCTTCCAAAGCAAATACACTTTTGCACAGGGGTACTGATTAGTATTCCAATGTTTCTCCTCTCTCTCAGTTTTTCTCCAACATCTTCCTTATCAACTGATGTCATTGGTTGCTAGGACGCCGGTGACTTGAAGGTAAAATGGTAACACATTTTCCCAGACACACTCCAAAATCTTGTGAAAGTCTGGGAACTTGTGAAAGTCTTGTGAAAAGTCTGAGTATTACTCTGTAATAATGGCCACGGTTTTAGAAAGGAATGACCAAAAAGCTTATATAGATGTGAAGGTCAGGTGTCCACAAACATATACAGTATATAGTCCAATAATTTGGTGAACCACAGATGCCAAGATAAATTTAGTACCATCAACCTGAGCATTGCCCAAAAATTCAACATAAAGCAACTAGTAATACATCAAATGTACATAGGTTCAGTTCAGTAGACATTTGGTGAAATTTACTGAATTTCAGATGCTGAATCTGAACCTCATTGAAATCAATAAGAGCTAAATTTTAGAAATTAGTAATGACTATGTTGTAATTTAGCCTGCAGTATTCTTGCCTCGTTGCTGCAGTGCTTCTCCTGGACCTGTGATTCCTTTACATGTGTTGTTTGGCTTCTGTGGTCACCTATGGGTGTTACCTTCTATTTTGTGAATTTATATTTCCTTTCCCTTCTGTCAATCCCTGGCTCGCATGCCAGTTTTCTTCCCTATATAAGACACTTTCAGTGCAGCCCGCATTGCCTGAGCAACTTCCCAGGCCTCTGAGCTCCAGTTTGCCTACTATTACATATATTCAGTGTCTGACTTCCCATGTACCGACCCCAGCTCTATCTACTATCTGTGCTTGACTGCTGCCTGCCCTGACATTTCTCCTGGATTTCCTCCTGCCGTTTGTGCTCTGCACCTGCAAGTGGTCTCTCCGCATCCTCAGCTGGGCGTACTTGGGGGCTGCGACCTGGTTTAAGCTTGCTGCAAATCCATCCCCACCATCAGGGACCCTGGTCAAGAAGCAGGCTGTCATTTAGGCTGCATTCACACCTGAGCGTAGCGAATTTGAGCATTTTTTTGCACGATTTTTAGTGCATATTTTACCCCGAATTTGCGTGTTTTGGGTGTTTTCATACAGCGTTTTTGTGTTTAGGTGTTTATGGGCTTTGGCGTTTTTTTTATTAGCCAATAAAGAAAAATATTATCTGTTGCATCATTTGTTGCTAGGTTTCTCTGCTTTTTTAGCTTTTCTATCAGCTTTTATTTCATTATTATTAATATTCATTTATTATTATTATTTTGTTTTTTGTTAGGGTAAAGGGTTAGAGTTAGGGTTAGGTTAGGGTTAGGATTAGGGGTTAGGGTTTGGGTTTTTTTTGTTAGGGTGTTTATAATATTATGAATAAGAATAAATAAAAATAATCACAAATAAATACTATGTGATAATAAATAAATAATAATTAACCCCTAACCCAAAGCCCCTAAGCCTGAAAAAAAGTAATAAAAGGATAAGAACTACAACGTGTTATTATTATGATTATTATTATGATTAATAATAATACTCATAATAATAATTTATTTTTGTTCAGGTTCGGGTGATTATTATTATTACTTAACAATAATAATAATACTCCTCATAATTTATTAAATTTTTTTAAGGGGTGAAGGTTTGGGGTTAATTATTTATTTATTTATTTATGTATCATGATTTTTTTTATTTATTTTTGTATTTTTATTTTACATTTATTTATTCATATATTATTACTATTTTTTTTTTTTTTACATTTCTGAGCAGGATGCTCAAGCTCAAAGGTAGCTTTGAGCTTCGAGCTACAAAACGCTCAGGTGTGAATGGGGCCTTAGAGTCTGTGCCCTTTGAAGCCCAAGTTAGCGATCTACAAGGGCTTACTATCACAGAGACTTGGAAGCCTATTTTTTAGGCGAAGGATTGACAAATAATAGACAACATGACTATTGCAGCCAAGTCTGTTTTTGCTATTTCATCTTTTAATTGGCTGTTCGTTTTCGTCTTGTTATTTTTGGATGGACTTTTGCTTTGATGCACGCAAGTCACTTGATGCCGTTAGCTTTTTCTGCAATTAATGTGAAACTACAGCAGCTCAAATGTTTTGTTTTACTACTGATATAATTAAGAATTGAAGAGGAAATTTCGATTGTTTTTAGTCGCTGCTACTGAAACCGGCGAGAACAGAGGCCTTGGCTGTAGCCGGCGGAATATTTTCTCAGTTCCGTTTTCAAGGATTCATTTTGTGTTTTATCAAGTGATGCAATGCGGAAGGAGCCTACGAAGCTTGTGCAGAGAGAGTGTCGCCTGGCTCCATGCGATAAGAGGTTTAACAAATAGTAATAATCTGCACTTACACAGGTAGATATACAACAAAGTATTATTCTCTGCTGGATCAAAACAAATGTGTGAGTGAGAGCTTAAATCACGGGGAATATACTTATCAGCAGAAGAAAAGAATGGAGCCATGTATGTATATTTTGATTTTATTTTGTAATATATTCAGATCAAAGAGAAGCGTATTGTTTTGTAACGCAAAACCAATTCGATACGAGAAGTAAATGGATTCCTAAATATGTATAACTAGCGATAAGTATTCAGAATATGCAGAGACATTAGCATTCCATTGTATGCCAAAGTTCCCAATTGCCTTAAAGTAGATGTAAACCCAAAACTGAATGGCATGTATTCTGCTGAAGAGCAGTCTATCCTAAATAGATTTAAAAAAATAAAAATCTTTTTTCCAATGTTTTGTTTTCCTATTCTTGTGTCATAGTGATCTTCTTCAGGCTTTCTGCAGCCGCTGTCTATACACACTACTACGATGGCTCCATGGCCTTGCTTCGGGAAGGGTTTCCGGTTGGGGACAACGGTGCACGGTAACTACATAATGTGTGTAGTAGCCGCTTGAAGCCCATTTAGCAAGGTGACAATGCAAGTGAACCGTTGGGAGAGAGGGACAGAGCGTTGTCACCAGGAGCGGACTGACAACTCATGGGGCCCCTGGGTAATAGTGGATCATGGGGCCCCTGTGTCCTTGCCCAAACTCAAAAAAGCCTGTGAAAAAGGTACCAAGGGCATCTCATGAGGCCCCCTACTGACCCGGGCCCTCGGGCAGTGCCCGAGTTTCCAAATGGTCAGTCCGCCCCTGGTTGTCACCCTATAACAGTGAGTGGCTGAACAAGGACTTTTTATACTTATATTGAAAGGCTTTTCTTCTCAGAGAATAGGTGCAGGTACTCACATTATTCCCCTGCCACCAACTCAACCCTCCCACAGTACAGAGCCCCCAAAGAGTACAGAACTTCCCTCTCCCAGGTTACAGATTCTGCTCACAGTACAGAGCCCCTCTACACACTATAGAGCCCCTTCACAGTACAGAGCCCCTCCACTCAGTACAGAGCCCCCTTCACAGGGTACAGATTCCAATTACAATACAGAGCCCCCTCTACACACTATAGAGACCCCCTGACAGTATAGAGCCCCCAAAGAGCACAGAACTTCCCTCTCCCAGGTTACAGATTCTGCTCACAGTACAGAGCCCCTCTACACACTATAGAGCCCCCCTCACAGTACAGAGCCCCTCCACTCAGTACAGAGCCCCGTCCACAGGGTACAGATTCCAATCATAATACAGAGCCCCCTCTACACACTATAGAGACCCCCTCACAATACAGAGCCCCTCCACACAGTACAGAGCCCCTCTCACAGGGTACAGATTTCAATCACAGTACAGAGCCCCCTCTACACACTATAGAGCCCATCTCACAGTACAGAGCCCCTCCACTCAGTACAGAGCCCCCATCACAGGGTACAGATTCCAATCACAGTACAGAGCCCCCCAGAGTACAGAGCCCTTCCACACAGTACAAATTCCCCCACAGTACAGAGCCCCTTTACAAAGTATGTAACCCCAACAGTACAGTATAGAATCCCCCTCACAGTACAGAACCCCCACACATAGTATAGAGCCTCCTTACACATTATAGAGCCCCCAACAGTACAGAGCCCCTCCACACAGTACAGTACAGATCCCCCTCATAGTTCAGAGCCCCTCACACACAGTACAGAGCCCACCCCACACAGTACAGAGCCTCCCTACACAGGGTTGGTGCTTCCACTAGGCAAACTAGGCAGAAACCTAGGGGTGCCTGGGCACAGCCCAGACTGGCACTCTCTTGGTGTGGGACGCCGCCACGTTATGAATGGTCCTTCAACTGAGGGGAGGGGTGGCAGAAGGGAGAAAGAAAGGACAGAGGAAGATGCTGGGTGTCTGGGGCCAGTGTAGCAGCTGATCTGCAGCTCCTTCCAGTGTTCCTCTCAGACTCAGTCATCAGTGATTGCTGTGGAGTTCTGGCCCTTCTCTTCCCATTTATCTATGGAGGTAGAACTGCGGCTGCGGAGGAAGGTAATGTCTGACTCTGATGTCTGTCTGAGTGTGACGCGGCCAGCTGGCCATCCATCACATGTGCAATGTGGCAGTGAGTGATGACATCATTACAATCCCATAGCCTGCTCTTAAGGTGCCTGCTGATCTGTGTTAGTGTTGGTGTGTTTTTTCAGATCTGTCACTGTGTGGGATCGCTCAGTTCAGGTGTTCTCTCTGGTTTGTGGGCTGGGCTGCCTGCTGTCACACAGTGTTTTCTCTCCCTCCATTGCCTGGGGAATTCTATCCTGGGATCTGTCGGAGTGTGGATCCATCATCCTCCACTCACTGCAACTGTCACCCTGCCACTGCCAGCCACAAATACAGTCTGTCCTTGACACTGATTTTCTCTTTAATATTGCTGCTGGTGGCATCGTATGTCAGAAATTTAGCAATTTGATGTTTTGTTGATTTAATATTTTCTACTGTTTTTAAAAATGTCTATTTATTTATTTTGGGGGGGGGGGGGTGCAAGTAGCTGGTCTTGCCTAGGGTGCAAAATAGTCTAGCACTGGCCCTTTCCCTACACATTATAGAGCCCCCAACAGTATGGAACCCCTCCACGCAGTATAGCGTCCAACCCACAGTAGCATAAACAGAAGCCAGCAGAGGAAGTGAATAGTGCAGAAATCTTCCTCTATCGGCTTCTGTGTTTACCAGTGACCAGACAAAGAGGGCAGGGCAGTGCCGGCGGTGGTAAGTTCTGTCTGAAAAAAAAGCCATGATTGCAAAATTTTGGTAAATCTTATATGAGATTTTAATGATTAGGTTCACATTTACTTTAAAGAATACCTGTATAAAAAACAACCCACCCCCCCTTTATGTAGACGGCCCATGCAGTGCCTTTATTTGCTTCTCACCAACCCCAACCCATGATGCACCACCTCCATTGAGAGGGGGACACATGCACATGCTTCTCCTGTCCTTCAACAAAGGAAGTGTCTGGTCTGACAATGTTGTCACATGTGGTGAGTTGTACCTAGCAGCAAACTAATTAAAAGAGTAGCATCTGCATAGGATGGAGGGGGCTGTGCTAATGAATTGACTCTTCTTGGAGTATCACATTTTCTAGCCAGTTCAAGGGCACATTACAGGTGAAAAAAAAAATATCACAAAATAATTTATGGAGAGAAAAATTGCTTCTATTTTAAATGCTCACTTTCTCTTTCCCACCAAAGGCTTTTTATTCACTTGGACTTTGCTTTCCTCTCAACATCCCCTTCATCCCTCACAGTCTTCTGGTTCAATTTAGCCACCCATGTCCGATGGTGGATAAAGGAGAAAAACAAAGTAAAGAAAAGGGTCCAACAATTTGTAATTTTTTTTGACTCCACAACCCTAGATATTGGCCTACTGGCATTACGCTGAACATAGCCCTGCATACAGATGACAAGTCCTGATTATCTGATTGCACCACTTCCAAAAAAACAAAAAGAACAGCGAGCGCTTTAGAGATAAGCTGCTAGCACTAAAAGGTTTACCAACCAAAATGTATAAATATAAACAAAAAGTGCAGCTCCGGAAAAATCGTGTGTGAAAAATTCATATAGCTGCAAACATGCTATATTGAATTAAATAATGCATGCATCTCACCAAGCAATCACTAATATAATATAAATAAATAATAATCCACCATAACAGCATAATCAATGAATAAAATAAATATAAAAACAAATTAATACACCACTATTAGTGCAAAAAAGTTATAAAAAAAAACCCGAACGCAACGGTATACAAATAATGGCAAAAAAACATAGAGAATGGAACATTTCCTTTCAAATACTTACTGTAGTTTTCTGTTCCTGATGGACTCCATGGCAGCATACATATGGGTTAGACCTGCCCTCTCCCCTCATTTTTGCTCCTCGCTAGAGACCATGTTCTATAACTAGCCAACTCATGGCATTGGGAGGGTATTCCTGCTGCCATGGAGACCATCAGGAAAGGAAAATTACACTACGCAGTGCATGGAGGCCAGGAAGCAGCGGTATGGAGTGCAGCATTGCACTCCAGACACTCACTAGCACCAGGGAAACATGAAAAAAAAGAAATAAGGAGCAAGACTCAAATGGGCACAGAACACAGCTTACCAACCCCACACACCCACGACCGCCTGCCTTGGAGACCGCCTCGTCTTTTCAGGGCGCTACATGGCCACCCACTGTTAGTAGGCTATCCGGCCCAAGTTGCCGCTCGCCCGCCATTGGCAGACCTGAGCTCTTCCAGGTACAGACTCCTGCTCGCCCATTTCCACCCCGCTATTAGCTGGGGAATGCTCGAATTGATGACGCCTGCTCCGTCACTCCGAACACCGCGTCCATCGGCCATGTCCAAAACTCCATCTTTAGCTGAGGACCCGTGAAACTGACAAGCGACGTGTCACCTCACATGTCCCGGAGAGGCTCACCAGGCCTTGGTCGCGGACCATCTTGTATGTGGGAACCATGTAAGACTTGCACTAGGTCCACACTAGGTCCACCATAGAGTCTGTCAGGAAACATAAATACAAAGGACACTAAAGTACCATAAAGCACCCCCACCCAAAATTACTCCAAAGCCTCTAAATAGGAGTGAATACTTAAATGTTGGCAAGTTTCTCCTAAAGTGATTCAATGACTGAACTTAAAAGCTTTAGCAAAATTTATGTAGCACGACACCCTTTGGAGTTGCTGAGTTTTGGGTCCCCCTATAGTCCTGCACAACCAGGCAACATACATTTTCTTCAGATCTTGCTCACTGGAATCAGTAAACAATCCTTGAGCTTGTGTTTGTTGTTTTATTAACTGCTTTCCCGTCGCCCTATAGCAGATATACTGCTACAGGTTGGCAGGGGTTCCGGGTAGGCTATTTGCGGCTGTCAATCACCTGGTCCCGCTCGATCAATACTCGCTGGCACCTGGTGATCGAGCAGGATTACCGACACGGAGGGAGAGAACTGTAAATAAACAAAACAGTTCTCTCCCCTGTCTGCTCCTGCACACTGCTATGCATGGCTTTGCATAGCAGAGCCATGCATAGTAGTGTGCTTGCAGTGAAACAGACACACAGCACACTTAGTAAAACAGCACATAGTTAACCCTTTGATCGTCCCACATGTTAATAACCCCTTCCTGCCCAGTGCCATTAGTACAGTGTCAGTGCTTTTTATTAGCACTGATCACTGTATTGGTGTCACTGGGGATGTCAGTGACACCAAATCAGTTCTGCTCAGTGTCAGAATGCCCACTGCAGTCCTGCAGTCCCGCTATAAGTCGTTGATCGCCGCCATTACTAGTAATAAATAAATAATTTCAGTATATATACAGCTATTTGTAGACGCTATAACTTTCACGTAAACCAATTAATTTACATGTATTGGGATTTTTTTTTTTAGCAAAAACATGTAGCAGAATACATCTGGGCCTAAATTTATGACAAAATTTGATTTTTTTCTATTTTTTTACTGGACATGTTTAAAAGCAAAAGGTAAAAAATATTGTTTATTGAAAAAAAGTCTTAAGAAGTCCCGTTTGCAGTTTGCGAGAAGCCATGTGGGGGACACAGCAAACATGTGGAAGAAGGGGCTCTGGTCAGATGAGACCAAAAATTGAACTTTTTGGCCTAAAAGCAAAACGCTATGTGTGATGGAGAACTAACACTGCACATCACCCTGAACACACCATCCCGATTGTGAAACATGGTGGTGGCAGCATCATGTTGTGGTGATGCTTTTCTTCAGCAGGGACAGGGAAGCTGGTCAGAGTTGATGGGAAGATGGATG